CCCCCCCCCACCCCTCAACACCATACATCAAGGGACCTTTCCCGACGCCCCATACAGATATATTCGTCCTCAACAACAAGCACAGCATCAAGCTCGCACCGTTGAGGGGACGCTATTAATAATGAACACACGCACACCCCCCGCGCGCCAAATGCGTGCACCACAGGATAGAAAAGTGCATCCATGCAACATGAAAATCGAATTTTGGGAGGACATGTACAAGGCATGGATCGAATCGGTTAGCTCTCGGTAAACAGATCAATTCCTCTTACAAGCATGTAGGTCCGAATTTAGAAAAATCGGCGAATTCCTGCAAATCAGTACGTGCTACAGCACCAGAGGATATCGTGCGAATACTACGACGGAACTTTTCACAGCAGAAAGGGGCGAGGGTCACTTAATAACGCCCATAAAATCTAATCTCCACCACCGAACCATCGCGCGTGTCCAAGCTCATCCTGCGCAGCACCGGGTAAAGCTCTTGCACGACCCGCGCCTACGGTCTTCATCACCACAACAGAAAAAACAACATTAACAATGAGCAGATGCCCACCCCGTCTCCCTCGCCCCTCTCTGCATCTCTCTCTCTCTCTCTCTCTCTCTCTCTCTTGCTCTCGCTCTCTTTCTGGCTCGTTGTTGTCCTTGCTTGCCTTCCCGTCCCCGTTTATCGCGAAAAAGCGGCCTCTCGAGCTCTGTACACAACTCCTCACACCCCCAACACAACTTAGCGCCAGCCAGTGACAGATAACGTCGTTGTTGTATATCCCCCGGCCATGAATTTCTAAATGCACATCTAGAGAGTGCTCTCGGCTGGTCGGGTGCTGCTGCTACTTCAGGAGGAAAATCGAAACAAAAAACAACATGAGCAACACAACCCTAGCCCTGGGTGGGGGGAATATAGACGCAACACAGGCCTCCGTACTAAAAACAACGCCTTCGCATCTCTTCGACGCGATGATAACGCGCGCTAATCCTCCCGCACCTCATTTTCGTGATGAGAGGCAAAAATATTACAGCACAACACAGACCAACCTCGCTCGCTCGCGCGCGTGCGCCCGCCCGCCGTCCCCCCTAAAGCGTAGCACGAACAAGGATGTCGCATGAAAAGACTAAAATACACACACACTCGACAAAAAATGGCGAAGAGCATGACTGACTGACTTGACTCCTCTCCTCCGTCCCACCACAACTCGAGACTACAACACCGACCCAAACAAACACCCGCTGGGAACATACACACATACGGCAACACAACCAACACAAACATTTATTGATCACCCTGCTTTTGCAACAACGACGACGGCGATGACGTCACGGCACTGCCGAACCGGCACTCCCCGGGACGCTCCTCACGACATTTTCCGGCGAAAAGGAGGACCAAGAGTGACCTACCTACAAACAGGCCTTTGTAAGACACTCAACCGCCGCGCAACAGCTCCCCCCTCCCCCATCCCCAAGCGCCGCAGGTTCTTTCGCACCGCCTGATTAGAATTCTAAGCTCTAGAAAAACTCGAGGTCGGGCATATACACGGTCTGGCGGGGGGGGGGGGGGGGGGGGGNGGGGGGGGGGGGGGGTCGTGTCTAACGTCATACGACGCTAAATCACGGTAGTAGTGCGTCTAACTTGTGTCCAATGTCGAAAGACGATAAATCACGCTAGTGAGTACGACTACCTGGCCGCCGAACGATCGGCGCGCTCCTCCAGGAAAGGCAGCAGCGCCAGCGACACGAGCCACGCCACCTGCGAGGACTCGATGAAGCACATGTGCCCCGCCCGCCCGATCACCGTGTCCAGCGCGCCCTGCGACTGCCGGTTGCGGGGAGCGTCCAGCGTCATTCTCACAACCCTGTTCGCGCTCTCGCTCACCTTGGACATGAGCATCTCCGCCATCTCCGCCGAGACCGCCGAGGTGTGTCCGGCGCTGCTGCCCCCGGCGTCGCCTTCGGGGGGCGTGCGCACGGAGGCCGAGTGGAGAGGCACGAAACCGTCCCTCGGGTTTGCGGCAAACACGATCGTCCTGTTTTTTTTTTTTTTTTTTTGATGTAGTCGTTGCGGGAAAGTGCGGCAAAACGCGGGAAAGGAAGGGAACAGAAGGGATTTAGTGCTTCGTGTCGTTTCTTATGTTGCGGCGAAAAGCGGGAAAGGAAGGAACAGAAGGGATGCATTGCAGGGTGTGCCTAGGTGAAAATAACAAACACAACACAGAGCGCGGACACGCGTACCACGGCTTTTGAGGGAGGGTGGGTGGGTGGCGCGACAGACGAAAGGCAACACTGCCTGGTTGACTGCGTCAATCGCAGGCATGTCTGACCTGGTTTCGTCACGAGTATAGCCAAATAGCTCTCTACTCACAGGCACTGGCACAATCACATGTTTGGACCGGTCTACGGCGCCGACCAAATCACCAAAATACTACAGCAGCTCATTAGCGAGCTCAAAAACCAAACTCTCTGGGTCATTCATCTCCTACAAGCACACTACCAAGTACAGATGGAAGAGGCAGCGACAAACCATGCAACGAGGTCGACACCAACACGGCGAACCATACAACGAGGTAGATACCAATCCCCCCCCCCCCGCTTTTCCCCCCCCGGTGTTTTACCATCGGGGTTGGGTTTTCGTCGCTTGGCAACGACGTTGTAAAACAAGCCGCCCCCCCCGGTGTTTGCCATCGGGGTTGGGTTTTCGTCGCTTGGCAACGACGTTGTAAAATAAGCCAATTCACTTCGTGAACTCGGCAACCAGGTCACGGTTACTTTCTTTTTTTACCTCCTTTTTTTTTTTGGCGGTAACCATAATGGTGGTCGAGTA